CAGGAAAGCCATACTTCACCAAAAAACGCAATAATAGTGGAAGCATTTGCCATTAAACGTCATCTAAATTTAATACGACTATGTTCTGAAACTATTTGGGAAGCAAGTTAAATGAACTTTGGATGGGAGAATTGCAAAAAAGAAAGGATTCATTTCCTGAACTCAACTTATACACAATAAATATAACTTTTTGCCTTGTCTAAAACACAGAGGCCGATGTCTCGCCCTGATACAGCAAGTACTTGATCACCCCAAACTGCCTGAACTCTACACTAACGCGTCTCAGATCTGACAAAGTTTTACAAGTAACATGCCCAAAGAAAGCTCAGTACATTTTCATAAGAGCCAAAAAGATGTCTTGAGAACTGCGTCAACAAAAGCATAGCAGGAAAATCAAAGTACGGCCGATTGGCTACATCATACAGTTTACATGAGTTAAAAGTCAGCTCAAAAGAGTCACAAAATCTCTTTTTTTGGTTATACGATGAATTAGAATGCAAAAGACGCAGTGATACATTCAGTCTCTTTGAGCCCCCCTCTCTAGAGAAAGCTATCGGAAATTAAGACGAGAAAACTGAAAAATTTCAACTCGATGCAAGCTGGACGGCTTAAACATGGTTCTTAATACCTTCATAGCAATCAATAGATTCCTATTATAAAACGTCTACTAATTTATACATTTTTGCGCTCAGCAACCTTGTAGATGGGATATGGAAGATGGACTAATGTGGATGCTTCATATGTTATTCAATTTCAGAGTAGCATTTATTCCAAAGGTTTTTTTCACTTTGTCAAATTAGAGACAGTATTTCGGCCAGCGATTTAGCTCAGAAGATAAGACTGTTACGGCAATCGTCGTGAAAATTTGTTTCCTCAGTTGGGTACCATGATTTTTCAATTCGTCAATGACAATTTAATGTTTTATCTTGATAAAAAGAGGCTACTGTGAGCAATCAAAAGGTTGGCGTTAAGAAGTTGTTGTAGGGATAATTAGACAGAAGATAACTATTAGACTTATTATACTGAATTAAAAAGGAGCTTTAATTCCAACAAATATTTTACAGCGCAGTGAATGCTAAATGGAAATTCTAATTTGCGGCCTAGCTTCCCTTGCACTAACGGCGGGACTCGAACCGTAGACTTACGGATCAAGATGGAAATGCCCTCTCCCCTGGCACTCAGATTCATTACTGTTTAAACAACGAAAACTGCCAATAATTCGACTTGTGTTAGTTTATACATAGGTTCTTCTATACGAACAGTACGTTTCATATATAAATAAACTTTTGACTAAACAACTTTAATCGCTTCTTGTACATAAGCTATTGTCGAGTGAACATCTCCCTGAGGCGTCCGCCAAAGCGTTTTCTTTGGCTTCAAGGGAAGGTGAGTGTTTTAGAGTCACACCCTCGGAATTTGGGACGCATTTAACAACTTCGTAGATTCTTCCAAAAATCCTTTTCCAGGCCAGCCAGAATTTATCGTAGCCCCCTTATAACTGGGGGCTCCAAGGCCGGTTAGGGGCAGATTCTATCGTCTATATTCTGCATTTTGCTCATGGACAATTTTACACTGTCAATTAAGAAGCATGATTTTCGCAGAAGTCCATGAAAAGGAAACGTTCAGGATTAGGCTGAAAGTGAAGCATATAAGTTTGACTCAGTTTTGAATGGGTAAATCTAACTTGGTTCTTTGAAAGGAGATTCCTATAAGACAAGTTAGCCGTGAAAGTACATACTTTGCCCCCATCAAATATTGCAAAACAGTAAATCATTGCAATAACGTCTTTTGTAGTACAATTAAAGCGTGCAAATAATCCATATTTTATTCGAGGAAGATGCCAACGTCTGTTATTTAGCCACTAAAATCTCAAAAGCATACGAAAACACACTAAACGCTTCCTCGGGAAATAATTATCTGAAGACCTTAATCATACTATTAACGATATTTTCCATGTTTTAATGACCAGTGGGGTGGAAAATTCATAAAGGTCTAAAGGATAAGTGCTAGCTGGAGAGGTTATCTGCCAAAAAATTCTTGATTCAGTATTCCGTGGACAATTCTCCCTGTTAAAGTTGGCCTGGCCGATATCGAAATTAAGTAAAACAGGTGTTTTAGAAAAATGAAGTCTTCTACAAATTTAAACAAGCATGTCCAGAAATCTGCTACAAATGGGGAAGAGTAAATTTACTAAGAACAATAGTGCCGAACGATTCGATGCAATGATATAGGAATGAGTAAAGCTGACTGAGAATATGTGAAAATCCGAGCGCGCCACGTAAATAAGATTATGCTAAACTTATTTTTGAATTCACATCTCGCACTTGGGCGAATTTACCGCATTAACTAGGCGATTACCATCCCATGTTCCTCGACCACTTTTATTCGCTCTTTTAGAGATATGCTAGATTTGCTTGCGAGATGTTAAATTTTCACAACACATTCTTCTAACATCAAAAAACGCTAGTACCTGCAACCTGGCCGAGAAGCCCAGAGTTGTAAATTTGTTCTTTGTTCTATGTTGTTTTGTCTTGGAAAAGTGTTTTGTAAAGTAATACTTCCCCTTCAATCAGGAACGAAAAATAATTATTAGACTTGTATTTGCTTGTATCTTGGCTTGAGTAAGAGAGTGTTCAACATAATTCTGGCTGTCTTATAAAGATAATCTCACCTGTCACAAGTTGCGCTATCAAACCGATGGGAAATATGGCCGGTCCAACTGCAAGAGGGCGGTGAGCCCGGGGCTGGCCGAGCCGCGTCGAGCGTCTTCCTTCGCTTCCAGCGTCCGTGACGGGTCCAGCCATGCGAATGCAAAGACTGAAGAGTCTATTCAAACGGCGACTGGGCTTCATGGTACCGTTTCCCGATTTACCGACAGTCGAGGCCGTATTGGCGAGGGCAGGTCGAGCTAATGGATGACCGGAGGAGACAGAAGTGAATGAGCCGACTGCTACATTCCGAGGCCTTTTGTTGAAGGCTTCACTAATTCCGCCGCTGTCGCTGATGCTGCCACCCTCCTTGTCTCCGTCCCGAACCTGTTTGATGGGCGACGTCTCTAGCCGGCCGGCGTCAACAGTAATTGGATCTAGTTGTAGGCGTATCCGGCCCGGCCGTAGGCCTAAAAGCCAGACTCGCGGTAGATGAAGAGTCCCGGTTGGGCTCCCGCCATCAGCGAAGGCAGGATTGAAAGGCAGATCCGCCGATATCGAGAGGAGACGAGCAACCGGGGTTTGTGTGGCCTGTCGGCCGGGAGGGATACTGTGCGGAGATGCTGCACGACTGGTGTTGTAGGGGGAGAGTCGGAGGCGATGGGCCACCAGATGTGTCACGTCGAGAAAGTGAAGGAGACGACCTCCCAGCACATCCTTGTTCTGCAGAGGCACGGAGGTCCGGGTGAACCTAAAGCAAAGCACCGTTGGTAAGGATTTTGGCAACATGTGTATGTTTATGGGTCGTAAAGGAACAAAATGAGGGAAAAAAGACATTTATCAAAGCAAGCGCTGTCTTTGCCAGATTGGGACTTTAGGCTCTGATAGTTGATAATGCCAATAAGAAGTAAACAGAAGAATGTGATGCAACTAGTTGGCCAAAAGCCGTGCTCGCTTTTGGCGCAAAGCTCAATTTTAGCCTTTTCTCAGTCTGATCGTCAACTGTGACGAGAGCTGACCCACGGCCTGCAGGTTCAGATGAGGACTAGTAATCTACTTCTAATATATTAACGAAATGCGTGCACCTGTCAAATTAGAAGAACCTTCCAAGAATCCGTAAGTCCAAGGAGCGCATACATGAGAGAAAATTGTCAAAATACAAAACAGAGGAGAATATAGTTGAGAAAAACAAATATCGACAGATTATACTAAATATTTCCTCTTTAGGGTCAGTTAGTGCCTATCTCGACCAGTTCCCTGCTGCACCGCTAACGAGTTTGCCCATGACGAATTGAAGAAAGGCTTCAAGTGTCCTTTTACATGTTCCCAGGCAAGTTGTAATTGCAACCTCGCAACATCGGTATTCGGCCAGTGGAAGTGCGGTTCACGATGCAAACACGTTAGTCCCTTGGCCCCACGATCCTGGCCCCGTTGTGATATACGGCATGCACGATATTTAAAGGAAAGCAAGTTTCAAACAACTCAACTCATTTTTAGGGGAATTTCGTACCAATGGGCAACAACAGCAGGCTCCTAGTAATTAAGAGAAAAAATAATCTGTCTTCAATTGACACCTGATAATTGTTGACGAAATCAGATAATTATATGAACATTTCAGAAATAGTATGGCATAACCAGAAACGTCTGGAATGAGAAGTAAGTAAAGGGAAACGGAAAAATGAAAGATATAAAACGAATTCAAACCCATAATTTTCAATGAGGTGGCTTAACTAAATGTAAGTAGTAGACAGCACTTTCATCAGAGCTCATTTGTATGACTCACAAAAGACCCAATGAGTAAAGTATCCAAAATTTTT